GCCTAGTGAAGTTCCGGTCCATGCATGTATTGGGATGACGGAAAGGGCCCCGAGCTATGTAAACAAATTGCTATGGCATGAGCTGGCTGGCGATTGAGAAAGGTCCCAATAATGGTCCATGCTCGACCTGAAACCCAAAATCTGTCACTCTAGCTCGAAAGCATGTTCAGCTCTATATCTGGAGAGGATGTTGGGGAGAGGGAAACTGAAGCGGATAATCCGCGATCAACATGAGGGGGATGACCGCTTTCAGAGGCCAGCAGAGCCGGTGGTTGCCCACTTTCCCTCCCCAGATGCGGCACCACGTCTCCCGGTCGCAGGCTGCTTTCCAAATCGGCCCCGATTTCATCTGGGCTGACTGTCAATCAGCAGGGAGGAAAGAAAATAGGAGCCATCCATCCTTTCAATTCTGTCCACTACTACCTACAGACTCAATCGACTATCATCAGAATATCCCCCTTAATTCTATCTCATCTCCTCTTGCGCCGTCACAGCTCCGTCCCCGCCGTTCGCAAAAGTACCTTGACCCTTCCCTCCCACCTCCGTCACTACCCCAGTCCCATTCATCGTCTCCAGATCATCCAGCTGCCTACTGAGCTCCCCCCGACACGACTCAGCTTCCCTGTCAGGCACATGGGATAGAACGAGTGTCCAGGGAGCAACTCAGTGCAAGATCAGCCACAATCACCCAAAGTGCCTTTTCGCACGAATGGGTCATCTTTGGCCCCATTCATGTCGGAACTTGCACGGTGATATTAGGGATTCCCGAGAAGAACGGCACGAGGACAACTGCATGCATTATTTGATTTGACACGTCAATGAAGAATGAGCTCAGTCTCCAGTCCGGCTGTTGACCATTCTGTCGACCACCCTGCCGATCAGCCACCTATCTCACAACCATCCAATACTCCGACCCCCTCCGCTCCGGCCGCGGCCTCGGAAAGCACCACGACCTCCGACAATGTTGCCACGCAGAAAGAGAATGTCAGACCGGGTGGAGGACAATCTGCACCAGAGCAGGCCGCAGGTTCGGGCCGGGTTATAGAGTCTAAAGTGGAGGAGTTTGACGACTTTGGTTTGCCGATCCGCGTGCGTCCTAAGAGGGAGTCGTCCGAGAGTGAGGAAGTATTTCACGAAGTGGATGAATCACATGGGAATGCGGATGATAGTGGCGATGTGAGCAAGCGAGAAGGTCCAGCAACTGCTGCGGAGGGTTCGAGCACGAATTATAAGGTGGAGGAAGAGCCTCAGGGAGCGGCAAACGAAGTAAATAAGGAACCGTCATTGCCGTCTGCGACATCTGTGCCCGAGGATCATGGTCACTCTCCCGAGCAAGTCCCAGAGACTTCCACGGCTAGCGAAAAGCGTGCTCTTTCCGATTACCCGTCCCATCCTTCACAAGACGAACCCCCACCGCCGTACACGGAGAGTCCTGCTCAGGTGAATCATGATAACAGTGCCGATCGGTCCTCTATGCAGAAGAAGCGTGCATCTGTGAAGCCTTCCGAATGGTCTCATCAGCGACTCTATGTGGCCGGGCAGTCGGATGACGATGGCGAGGAAGAAGAGGACGATGGAGGTTGGAAAGAAATGCCCGCTTTGGGGGAATTCGATTACTATGATGACTATGGCCGGCTGGTTGCCCGTGGCGCGAAGCAGGAGGATAATGAAGCTGTGTACAGTGGTCTAGGTGGTGCAGGAAAGGGTTACACTCGCGTACAGTTCGACGAAGATGCCCAATCAGCAACCAGCTTGGATGAAGATACAAGCTATCTTTTCAAGGATTCCGCCGACACTGCCGCCGGTGTAGAAGAGGAGCTGCGCGACCGTGTGAGCCAAATGCAGGCGACAAAGGATCTTCTGACTGAGAGCCAGAGAATCGCCTATGTCGGGGTGACCAGGCTGACTATTCATCAAATGACATTGGACATGAACAAGCTCCCCGCCATCAAGGGCACACGCAAGGCAAGGCAAGCTGGCATCGATGCCATGCGGAAGTGGGGTCAAGCAATGATGGCCAGGCTCTATTCTCACATGGAAATCGACACCGCGGAGCAGGTGATGATAGAGCAATTGGCTGAACATGGCGTGCAGCCGGCAGACCTTGTCCGACCGCTAATGAGTAACGCTCGTGTTGCGAATCCATTGGCGGATGAGCCCGAAACACCAAAGAAGTCGATGTCCTCGCCTTCATCCCCTAGACTCAGGGAGGACTACCGGAGTAGCATATCCACTGAAATGGACAGGTCCTCCCGATCAACATCCCCTCCACCATATGAAACCCACGAAGGGGAAGACTTGCCAGAGGTCCGGACTCCATCGCAGCTGCCCACTTCCGCGAAGATCGACATTGATCTCCGATGGACGGTGCTCTGCGATTTGTTCCTCGTCCTCATTGCAGACTCGGCCTATGATGCGCGGTCGCGGACATTGCTCGAAAGGGTGGGTGCTTCGATGGAGGTGGCATGGCTGCAAATTGCCCGCTTCGAAAAGCGGGTCATCGATGCTCTCGAAATGCAGGAGGCTGCAGAAAAGGAGACATGGGACGAGTCGGAGCATATGGAGAAGCGGCGGAAGATGGCCCTCAAGCGCAAGTATATGGTTATGGGCTTAGCCACTGTCGGTGGTGGCCTGGTGATAGGCCTTTCGGCTGGCTTGTTGGCCCCGGTCATCGGCGCTGGTATAGCAGCTGGATTCACCACCGTCGGAATCACGGGGACGAGCGCGTTTTTGGGCGGTGCTGGAGGTACAGCGTTGATTGCCTCCGGCGCTACCTTGACTGGAAGTACCATTGGTCTGAGGGCTTCTCAAAGACGGACTGGTCCTGTTCAGACGTTCGAATATCGCCCCTTGCATAATAACAAGAGAGTCAATCTGATTATCACTGTCGCTGGTTGGATGACAGGAAAGGTGGATGACGTCCGATTGCCTTTCAGTACGGTTGATCCCATCATGGGTGATTTATACTCAGTCTTGTGGGAGCCTGAGATGCTCCGAAGTATGGGTGACACTATTAACATTCTCGCTACGGAGGTAGGCAGCGACATTATGCTCAGATACGCTCATGCGGACACTAACATGCTTGGAATAGGCTTTGACCCAGGGGTTGCAACAGGTCCTTGGCCAGACAGTTCTAGTTGCCCTGATGGCTTCACTGCAACTCCCACTCGTCCTGACCAAGCTGTCCTACTTGATCGACAATCCTTGGAACGTATCGCTTACACGCGCAAATGCGGCCGGACTGATTTTGGCTGACTCGCTGCGAGACCACAATCTGGGGAAGAGGCCAGTGACTCTTCTCGGATATTCACTTGGCTCGCGAGTCATCTTCTCTTGTTTGAAGGAGCTTGCAGACAAGGGCGCCCATGGGCTAGTTCAGAACGTGTATCTCTTCGGGTCCCCGATCGTGGCCAACCGAGATGAGTACCTCAAAGCCCGCAGCGTGGTGTCTGGGCGGTTTGTCAATGGATTCGCCTCCAACGACTGGATCTTAGGGTATCTTTTCCGCGCCACGAGTGGTGGTATCATGCGGGTGGCTGGTCTTGCACCAGTAGAGGGGGTTCCCGGCTTGGAGAACTTCGATGTCACCAAGATTGTGAATGGCCATATGGACTATCGTGCAGCAATTCCTCGGCTGTTGAAGGAAGTCGGCTGGGAAGTTCTGAGCGAAGAGTTCGCCGAGATTGAGGATCCTGATCCCGAGAACCACGCTGAGCGGCAAAGGGAGCTGATCCGTGAGATTGACGAGGCGCGACGAGAGGCTGAGCAAAAGCCGGAAAAGAAGCGGTTTGGTTTGTTCAAGCGCGGAAAGTTGGCGCAGAAGAAAGGCTGGGAAACGTACGACGTGGAACGCAACAATGCGATACGCCGGGGCTCCAGCGACACCAACGGCTCCGGAACGGTGCTCTTTGATATCGACGCTATTCGAGCCGAGCTAGCCTCGGAAAGTATCGAAGTCAAGCAGCTTGAATCCACACTTCCCCCGATGAAATTAGACTTGAGTTCACCAGCAAGCCCGGCTCCATCTGCTCCTGCTTCCACCGGCAAAGAGCTGAAGAGGCCTGAAACTCCGGCGCCTCCGGCTCGTGCGTCTCCTGGGACACTCCGCGAATACAGTCCTACTCGTGACGCACACACGCCTGCACATCAAGAGGAAGCAGTAGAGATGACCTTCGATACGTCCTTTCATGATACTCCTCCCCGTTCTCAGTCGTCCTTCGAGCCCGCCGCCTCTCACGATGTACACCCCACAAGGCCTGAGCTTCGGTCTTCCCTTACGATGCCGGCCCTTGGGGCCAGTACTTTAGGCGCTATGGCTCTGGAGCCAAATGCTTGGGCCGAGCACGACTTTGGCCACGGCGAAGAAGAGATTCAGATGACATTTGAGTGACGATGAACGAGACGATGGGAACGAGCTTCTGTTTGTTTATAAGCTGTTTGTTGATAGACCGAGCCGGGTCTGTGCCGGGGGTTACTTTTCTTAATATGGGTTGCTATAATTTCTCTTTCGTTGTCATTCTACTTGCCTGTGTCCGTGCATGACGCCGCGGGAGGACGATTGCAGTTATGATAGATTCAGAGCCTGGCATGCGATTGCCAAGTTAGAGCCTCATTTTTTGCTGCATACACTTTTCTGAGACATGATACAGCCAGTCTAATTTTCATGCATGCTTGATTCACCTTGCGGTGTGGCTGTTTGGATATCAGGTGTTCTGGATGTGCTGGTCGGCATCCCCATTAGTTTAGCATGAAGCAGTCTTTATTACTACGTCTAGTATCAGTTATACGAAGCAAATCTTCTGCTCCTTGTGAATGCAAAAAGGAGTTCTCCATCCACTGATTGACGGTCGATGCGACCAGTCGGCATAGAACCCAAGCCGACGGGATCATAATTATAGCGGCGGGTGCGGAGAATAGCGTGTCACCACACGCGTCCCTCCTCATCCGAATCCCCAGCCAATTTGATTCATGACTTTCCTCCTCTTCTCTGCCCTCCACACCGAACGACACCCAGCCCAGGACCCCGCAAGCACAGATCTTCCCGGGGCATCTTTACTGTTTACATTCAAAGGGGCGGCCCATGCACATGCTCTCACTCGTTCCGTGGTTCACTCCATCACTCAAACGGGGGTCGACCTGCTCTCGTGCTTCTCCATCCAAGCAGCTCGGCCACATTTGCGACGTGATTATTTATCATTGAAACAAACACTTACTCAAGCCACTTCGCTTTCCCTTCCTTTCTATCTGTATCATTTTGATCTGCAATTCTTCTCTTGCCCCTATCGATATCGACCAGTCTCCACAACAGCCATAACCAAACCCATCCATCTCCACGACCAACTGATCTCCACTACAGCTACAATATACACACCATGGTCCTGCAAACCCGACCCAAACCCAACTCCAGCTACGCCTCCAACCGACTCACTCGACAATCCGGCCCCAGCCAATCCCTCCTCTCCACCTTTCGAAACAGCAACGGCAAAGATGAGCGTCCGAAGCCCGTGAAACCGGAGCCCGCGACGGACGACGAGCCCATCAGCTCTAGCGACGAAGACGATGTCGTGAACGAGGACGATTCCGAGCCGGAAACCCGCACACGAGTCTCGGGCCCTAGCTTGGATGAGAAGCTCGCCAAGAGCAGATCGCAGACAACGCCGCGCGCCCCGCGCCAACAAAGAGGGAGCGATACAAAGAACAGTACCCCGGCAACGGGCCGCAAACGGACCTCGCGTGAGATGGTAAACGATGACGCGGATGAAGATAAGGATGAGGGGTTTTTCGCCTCGTTTCGCGAATTGGATAATGGGAATAAGCGACGCAAGAGTCGTGGGTATCAGTCGAGGAAGTCGTTGGTGAACTCGTCGCAGTCGCCGGCGGGGAGTGTTAGAACGCCGAAGGCTTCGAAGGATGAGAGCAAGAGTATGAGTAATGGGGCTAAGAAGAAGGGGAAAGAGTTCAAGGTTCCTAGGGATATTGAGGACGAGGCGCGTGCGTCGAGCCCCAAGCCTGAATTCAAGCAGCCTCCTCCGATGCCTGAGCCTAATGATATGATCTCGAGCTCTTCACATGCTACTTCGTCTGCTCTGGATGCGGCGGTCTTTGATGATGATGATTCCTCTGTCGGCACGCCGCTTAGTACGGCGTCATCTAGCTTCATGAACGAGCTCTCGCAGTATGGAGAAGCGGCGCTGCTAGATGAACCGGCTGTGTGTCCATGGTGCAAAGCGCCTGTGGACCCGGGGGCGCTGTTGCGATTCCGCGCGCAACCGAAACAGCGCATGCGCGAACAGCGACAATTCTGTGACTCTCATAAGCAGTCTTCTGCAGAGCAGGAGTGGAGGGAGAAGGGATATCCGGAGATCGACTGGGATACGTTCGATGAGCGAATCGCTCAGCATTTCGCGGACCTGGAGACGGTCATGGTACCGGAGAGTACCTCTTTCTACCGGAATAGTCTGGACACGGCGTTGAAGACCGGACAGGCTAAGAACTTCCGCCTTTCGCTGGACGGAGACGGATTGGAAAAGATCTCGTGTGGATATTACGGGACTCGAGGGGCAGGGAAAATGTACGCTTCACCTTTGCATCTACTTGATATGGTCTTCTATGGGCGCAGGCTAATTGAAACAGGCTACAAGCGATCACCTCGCGATACGGGCGGAAGCTCCGTCGGCTAGCGGCCGATGATCAGATTGTGAAGATGGCCGGGCCCGTCGGATATGCGCAGGAGGTGTTGGTGCCAGAGTTGGCGGTGCGACTGGTCAAGGAGGACATGGGGGTGAATGAGGAGACGGCACGGCAGATTCTCCGCGAAACAATTGATATTGGGGAGAAGGTGAACTTTGCCTTGAATGACAAGGTGCCGGTGCCGGAGGAGTCTGAAGAGGAGGTGCAGTGAGATGCATAGCAGTGGTGATGATGTATTTGGGGATTGTTATTCGTATACTGGTCGGACTCTGTTTATTTAGCAGTCCTGGGACCAATGCTGTATTGTATATAAGGCGATGAGTGATACCTCTCTGTTCGCTAGCTAGCTAGCTAGCCAGGCTGTTGTGCCATGATTTTGTTGGGAGAAATGAAAATGAATATGGCGCGTGCAGGAGACGAATTGACACCATTGTGACTCCACAGTTGGTGATGCTTCAGTCCGGCCGAGGTGGAGCCGGCGATAAGATAGCGGAGACTGCTGATTAGCTGATAGCCTTGGTTACGTCGTGCGGAGTTGTCCGAACCCTTCCTTCAATCCATAGTGAGAAAGTACTACTGCTGCTGCTAGTTACTCCTCACCTCCCATCTCTCTCTGACTCTTCCTCTTCCATCACACTTCCATCTCCCCTCTTTCATGAGATGGATAGTATTCCAATTTATCTCTAAACTAGTATCCCAATCATGCCCCCCGAAATGCGGGAAAAGGCCGATGCCTATCATTACTCCACCATGCCCAGCGAATCTACGCCTCTCCTCACCACGGTCGGCGTCCGCCCCCATCGACACCGCTACCCACATCACTCTCTCCGCCGTTTCTGCACCATCACTCTCACCTCCATTCTTACCCTCTCACTCTGTCTCTTCCTGACCCCCACCGCCCTCCTCCCTCGCGCTCACGGTTCCATCTGGAGCTACCTCCCCTGGGCGAATCCCTTCCCCCACTCCTCCTGGCCTGAAGGCCATGGCCTCAGCTACGCTGAACTCCAAGCCGTCTTGAAAGAGACCCCGAGCGCCCAGAAGGCTCGCGAATGGAGCACCTACTACACCGCTGGTCCGCACCTGGCCGGGAAGAACCTCAGCCAGGCGGTCTGGACCAAGGAACGCTGGGCCGAGTTCGGGGTCCCAGAGACTGAAATTGTGGCATATGATATCTTCCTCAATTACCCTGTGGATCATCGGTTGGCATTGCTGAAGAAAGACGAGGTCGTATTCGAGGCTACCTTGGAAGAGGACGTGCTGGAGGAGGACCACACCAGTGGGCTGCCTAACCGCGTGCCTGTGTTTCATGGATACTCTGCCAGTGGGAATGTCACGGCGCCGTATGTGTTTGTGAACTATGGTACTGTGGATGACTTCCAGGACCTCGTGGATCGGAATGTCAGTCTGGGAGGCAAGATTGCTATTGCCAAGTATGGACGGATCTTCCGCGGATTGAAGGTCAAGAGAGCACAGGAACTGGGTATGTCTGGGGTGATTCTGTATGATGATCCCGAGTCCGATGGGGAGATTATCGAGGAGAATGGCTATGCTCCGTATCCGGAGGGCCCGGCTAGGAACCCGAGTGCTGTGCAGAGAGGAAGTACCCAGTTTTTGAGTAAGTTATCCTATCTTCCCGCTTGGTTGTTGGATGAAGCTGACTGAGTAGGTATCGCACCGGGTGACCCGACTACCCCCGGATACCCGTCCAAGCCGGGATGTGATCGTCAGGATCCGTATGAGTCTATTCCCTTAATTCCCTCCCTGCCCATCTCGTATCAGGAGGTGGTGCCGTTGCTTAAGGCCCTGAACGGCCACGGTCCCAAGGCGTCCGACTTGAACGAATACTGGCAGGGCGGTAAGCTGGGCAGCAAGGGCGTCGAGTACTACATTGGCCCGACCCCGGATGATGTCCAGATCAATCTGTACAATGAGCAGGAGTACGTGACGACTCCTTTGTGGAACGTCATTGGTGTCATCAAGGGAGCCATCCCGGATGAGGTCGTGATCATGGGCAACCACCGCGATGCCTGGATTGCCGGCGGCGCTGGAGATCCGAACAGCGGATCTGCCGCTCTCAACGAAGTTGTGCGCAGCTTTGGCGAGGCGCTCAAGGCTGGGTGGAAGCCGCTCCGTACCATTGTCTTTGCCAGCTGGGACGGCGAGGAGTACGGATTGCTCGGATCCACCGAATGGGTGGAGGAGCAGCTGCCCTGGTTGTCCAAGGCTAACATTGCCTATCTCAACGTGGACGTGGCGGCGTCAGGAACGAGCTTGCGCCCGAGGGCCAGCCCGCTGTTGAACAAGCTGATCTATGAGGTTACTGGTCTGGTGAAGTCGCCCAACCAGACTGTGCCTGGGCAGACCGTCCGGGACCTATGGGACGGTGACATTGCCACCATGGGTAGTGGCAGTGACTTTACGGCCTTCCAGGACTTTGCTGGTGTGGCGAGCTACGACCTTGGATTCAGCCGCGGTCCGAAGGACCCAGTGTACCACTACCACTCGAACTACGACAGCTTCGACTGGATGGACCGGTTCGGCGACCCGGGCTGGAAGTACCATGAGACAACCACCAAGATCTGGGCTTTGGCAGCGGCCAAGCTGGTGGAGACGCCGGTGATCGCCTTTAATGCGACGGACTACGCGCTGGGCTTGGAGAAGTATCTTGACAAGATCAAGCCGGCGGCGAAGCAACTCCCCGAGGGAGCATCGTTCGACTTTGGGCCGCTTGACGCAGCGATCGCTAAGTTCCAAGCCGTGTCAGCGAAATTCGACGCCTATGCTGCGGATCTGACTGAGCAGCTGGGCGACGATGTGCCGTGGTACCACTGGTGGAGGAAGGTGCGGCTCTACTTCCAAATCCGCATCGTCAACGACAAGTACAAGGGGATTGAACGGCAGTTCCTGTACCAGCCGGGTCTGGATGGACGCAGCTGGTTCAAGCACGTAGTGTTTGCACCAGGCATCTGGACGGGATACTCGGGCGCGACGTACCCAGGATTGGTGGAGAGCTTGGAAGCGGGTGATTTGCTGAATTCTCAGGTGAGTATCCCAGATTTACGAGGCTGATTAATTTCAGCGGCTAACGAGGTCTAGAAATGGCGCGCGATCATCATTGAGCGCATTGAAGCTGCGACAAAGCTACTGCAGTGAGTCAGATGGACGTGATTGGAGATGAATGCCGATTGGCGGATGCCAGGTGACTGCCGTTGAAGCAAGGAAGTCAAGGGAGGAGATTGTGTATGTATGTATGTCTTATTGGTGTATGTGCAAGTCTTCAAGGTCATTCTTTCGTTGGAGACAGTTGGGCAGTATGAGATAGGACGACAGGGAAATTAGTACGAAGTAGTATCAAGTAGATAGATAGCAGTTAGAAGCGGGCATGTTGATTGCTTACCGATTATCTTCAAGTGATTGATTGCTTACTTTCCCCGCCGGCGATCGACCCACCGCGAGGCTATTCGCCATTTTAGGGCCTGCTTAGCGTGTCTTAAGACTGTCTTCTACTGCCGAGTGCCGATTAGTTGGTTGGCCCTGGTCACACGCGCTGCTTGTTGAGTCTTACTCCTCTTGTCTTTTTTCTTTTCCTCTTCCTCTTCTTTTCTTCTTTCATTCCTCTCTTCAAAATATTTTTGGGGGTAGTCTGCTCACCATGTTGGAGAAACCCGCCCGGCTGCCTGTTCGGCAGCTGGTCATTCTCTGTATGTATTGCAAATCAAACCTCCTAGGTTTATAGCTGTATACTGACCGATATACATAGCAATATGTCGCTTTGCAGAGCCGGGTACGTCCACTCAACATACCTCGTCAGTAATGAATCACTTCTAATAAATATACAACAAAACAGTCGTCTTGACCTCCGTCCTTCCCTACCTGGTACATCCCCCCATTCCCCCAACTCCAAACCAAAACCAAAACTAATAATGTACAGCCCGAAATGATCGACCACGTCGGGGTCCCCAAATCCGAAATCGCCAAATGGGTCGGCATCACCAGCGCGGTGACCTCTTTCTCACAGGCCCTAATGGCCGTCACCTGGGGCACCCTCTCCGACACTCTCGGCCGCAAGCCCATTATCCTGGTCGGACTCACCTGCACCATGGTCTTCTCGCTTCTCTTCGGCTTCTCCTCGTCCCTCTCCATGCTGGTCGTCTCTCGCGCCCTGCTCGGTCTCATGAACGGCAACGTGGGCATCATCCGCACCATGGTCGCGGAAATGGTTCCCCAGAAGGAACTCCAGCCACGCGCGTTTAGTATCATGCCGTTGGTGTGGACGATCGGGAGTATTTTTGGTCCGGCGTTTGGAGGCGCGTTGGCGAGACCTGCGGAGAAGCATCCGGGGTTGTTTGGGGGTTCGGAGTTTTTGAGGAACTGGCCGTTTGCGTTGCCGAATATTGCTGCCGCGGCATTTTTTGTTGTCGGGATTGCGACGGGGTGGTTGTTTTTGCATGTACGTCCCTTTCTTTTCTCTTCTATTTGGGAGGTTGAAGGGGGTGGTGTGCTAATGTGGATGTATAGGAAACGCTGGCTGCGAAGAAACATCAACGTGACTATGGGTTGGTTGTTGGAGAGGCCTTGACTAGCTCGTGTACTTCTTCTCGGAAGAAGAAGTCGGAGTCTCATGCATCGGATGCAGAGCGCCAATCCCTTCTGCCATCAACTACTACACATCCAGCAACAGCAGCAAAGAAAGCCAAACCAACCTGGGCCGAGATCTTCACGCCGCAATCCCGACTCGTCCTGCTCGCTTACGCTCTCATGTCCATGCACGCCATGGCATTTGACTCCGTCCTGCCTGTCTTTCTACACAGCCCGGTGCAGGAATACGATGGTAATCCCGACATGAAACTACCCTTCAAGTTCACTGGTGGATTCGGCATCGGTATGTCCTCCCATCCTAACCCCCTCTCTCCTCTCACCCCGTACTAACCGAAAGAGAAAAGACTCCCAAACCATCGGCATCTACTACACCCTAATCGGCATTCTCGGCATGTTCATCCAATTCCTGATCTTCCCATGGGCCGCCCACCGCTTCGGCGTACTCAACTGCCTGAAAGCCGTGGTCAGCGTGTTCCCGGTCATTTACATGCTCACGCCATTCACGGTGCTCCTTCCGGTTCCGTGGCTGCGCAATGTGGCGATCTTCCTGCTCATGTTGGGGAAGTTGGCTGCTTCGATCTTTGGGTTCCCGTGCACGACGATCCTGTTGACGAACTCGGCGAGTAGTATGAGTGTGCTGGGGACATTGAATGGGGTTGGTACGAGTGTGAGTGCTGTGGGGAGGGCATTGGGACCTGCTGTGATTGGGGGGGCGTATTCCTGGGGAGTGAAGAGGGGTTGGGGCATTGTGCCGTGGTGGGTGTGTGGGGTGTTTGGGATGTTGAGTGCGGTGCCGGTGGGGTGGATTGGGGAGGAGAATGTGTTGCAGGGGGATGATGCAGAGGGAGTTGATGGTGAAGAGGGAGAAAGAGAAGAAGAGGGGGAGGAGGGAAGATATGGAGCTATTGGGGGGAGGTAAATAGTATGATGAGGAGGGGAGGGGCGGCTGATAGGGGAAAAGAAAAGTCGATTGATTGATTGATTGATTATTTGGGATATGGTGCATGCATGCATATATATGATGATGTGATATTATGATATGATATGATATGATAGAATGGACATGAGTTATATAGCTGTATAGTATGAATTGCTTGTTGTATACATAGAAGTACATAGTAGAGAGTAAGTATATAGATAGTGGTAGTGTAATCACCAACCAATCAGCATCCACAAATTACACTAGCCTAGCTTACCTACCTAGGTACTACCCAGCTAGATCATGCCATCATCCCAGTCCATCATATTACATAGCTAGCTTACCTCTCCACCACCTACTCACTACCTCTTCTACACTTCAACCTACACAACCACCACCTCACATCTACACCAACAACACAATCACAAACCCACAATGGTACGTCCCCCCCTCCCCCCTCCTCCCTCTAACCAAATCCCCTCACCACACCCAACCCCCAATCCTACCACCCCCCAAACTAACACTCAATGAGCTAGTCCACCCCAACCACCACAAAAGTAGCAGCCCTCCTCACAATCCTCACCTCCATCGGGGGCATAACCGGGTACCTACGCGCGCGCTCCCTCCCCTCCCTCATCGCCGGATTATCCGTCTCCTTCCTGTACCTCCTCTCGTACCTCCGACTACGCGCGAACCAGCCCTACGGGGCAGAAATTGGTCTTCTGGCCTCGATTATCCTCGGCGGTGCGTCGATCCCTAGGGCGATTAAGACGGGGAAGGGGGTGCCGATGGGGTTGGGGGTTGTGGCGGTGCTTGGGGGGGTGGTTTTTGGGAATGCACTTCTTTCTCAGTAATTGGATGATATTTGGGGAGTAAGTAGGATATGGAGGGGGTGGGGGATACTACTATTTGGTAGAAGAGGTGGGGGGTGGGTAGGTTGATGGTTACTTACTAGTCGGAGATGAGATGGGGGTGTATGAGATAGGTTACTACTATTTATTATATGTGGATGAATGGATGATGATGATGGTTTTCATTACAGTGTATACAGAAGCTAAGCTGTTTCAATTATTGGTGTAGTAGTCTGTATGTAGCCTACCTGCTCGATGTTGAACTTACAGTTTTCTTTCTTTCTTTTCTGACTCCGTCTGTCCCCTTCTGTGTGTCTGCCTGAACGTCCGTCCACTTTGTATCCTCTCCATGCTACGGTTCGTGTCGCTCGCCGCCCTACACTGTAAGAGACATTTCCAATCGTGCAAGAAACTGAACTTAGCTGCTTGATCCGATCCCCTGTCTCTGTCGCTGCCCTCCATGTATTCGCATGCTCGTAAAGCTGTTATACCGTCTGGCTGGTGGCTGGCTGGTGCCTACCGATCCGCTGCGTCCTCCACCGTATCCATCTCGCGCGTCGTGCCCGTCACCACCGACGCCGGTACCTCCTCCAGAACCGTCTCGCCCTTCTGTTCGGGAACAAATGCGTACCTTGCCAGCTGTGCCATCTTCTCTTCCGGACTCGTCTCATTATCCGAGTAAACCAGTCGTACTGCCTTCGACTTGTCCTTCTTGGGCTTCTCCTCGCTCTTGGGCTTTTCGGATGTGGTTTCTGCCTGCTTCGCGGCCCCCGAGATGAGATCGTCCACCGATGTCGAGATTGTATCAGGCGCTTGTGTCGTCTCGCCTCCGTTCAAGGCCGGCGCTTGGCCCATGTGCATCTGTTGCATTTGATACGCGTTGACCGGTGGCGCTGCCACAGCCGGTCGCTGCGGCAAACCTGGGGGCATAGGCAGGCTGCCCGACCGGGGCGGGAATGCCCCGGCCGTCTGCGGAGGGGTGTGGGTTTGAGACGGTTGTGCTGGGAATGCCGGAGGTGTGGTTCCAAACGATGCCGCCGGCGTACCCTGGAACGGCTGTGGTGAATATCCCGCCGGAGGGTATTGTGCGGTTGGAGGGAATTGGGGCTGTCCCGGGGAGAAATTGGGATAAACAGGGCTGGCGGTTTGAGGATAAGGAGAGGCAGTGCCGTAGGGTTGAGGGTAAGAGAACTGAGAGGTGGTGGTGGGTGCAGCGGCGGGCGCGGCAGCAGCAGGAGCAGGCTGGCCCTACCTCATTGTTAGTCGCGTCACTAAAGTTGTAGGAGAGAATACTCACGAATCCGCCCATAGTCGGGGTCTGTCCTGCGCCCACTGGAGTAGCTTCACCACTACTGCCTCCAGTACGTGCTTCCGCCTTCTTAGCCTTGTGCTCCGCCAGTCGCTTCTTCAGATCCGACACGCTCTCCAGCTTGGGCTTCTTCGCTGGCTGTCCGCCAACGCCGGTTCCCGGAGGCGGATTGCCCGTCACGGCCTGCCGTTCGGCCTCTGCCTGTTGGAACTGGGTGGCTACGCGCTGGTTGTGCGACTGGATGATGTCTTCCGGGACGCCCTCCATGCCGAAGATCTCGACGTCGAGGCTGGATCGGTTGGGAAGGGCATTGTCGACTGCCGAAAGTTGCTCCTTGTGGACCTGACTCATGTGCACCGATAACCCTGTGCTGTTAGTAAATATCGCCACGGCGCATTGGATGACCTACCTCCTGCAGTGTTCAGCCGGCGCCCGCAGCGCTCGCACTTGAAGTGCTTGGCCTTCTGGTGAGATATGAGAATCTTCAAATCATCAAAGTCGCGCTCACAGTAGTAGCACCATGGACGAGCCAGAAGCTCATCCAGCGTCGGACCACGTCTCTTTTTACCCATATTGATTGAGTCTGTGTTGAAGTGAAATGAAAGAAAAGTGATGGGTTGGTGAAGCAGCTAACTTGGTCGCCGACCAGCGCGGAGTTGAAGTGTTGCGTCACGTGGAGCTCATCATGTGACCTGCGTCATCCTTCCCATTAAGTATACAATTATCATCAGTATTATATCTACTTTAACTGAGACAGCTGAATAAAGGTATGGCATTAATGTATAATACAGCTTTTTATATGCCCAATGTACATCCTACCTGGTTGGCAATATTCACAACCAACCACGGATCGCAAAGCCCCGACGCCTGTCGCTGAAAGCACGCTCACTAATCACAGGTAACAAAAGCACAATAATACATACGAGCGAAATTAGGATACAAGCCAGGGTGGATCACGCAGGTCGCGGATGCGGTGGTGGCAGCCCAGGCGCAGGCGCCCCATAAGGACTGTAGTACTCCGGGTATGGTGTGCGATACGGCTGCAGCGGCGCTTGCTGTAGAAGACCATGAGGCCCTGGGAATGGTGCCACCGCTCGAGGATCAATAGGAGCATATGGCGTAAGTGACGGTCGTGGTGCAGCAATCGGCGCAAGCTGATGATGCGCAGGAGGACCAGGAGCCAAAGGTGTCGATGCAGGCATAGGTGCGGGCGCGAGCCCTGCGTTAGGTCGCGGAGGCTCCCCATACACCCCGCCCTCCGGCTTCTTCTTGATCTTTCCCGGCTTCGGGGGCTCAGATGCCTTCCGAGCAGCCTCCGCCGCGCGGTCGGCCTCGATCTGAGCCTTAGATCGTTTGGGATTGCGCACGCGACCCTCACGGTTGAAACGTGCCCAGTGGTTCAGCATGGCCTCTGTTCGCTTCGGGTTCTTGGAGTTGGCAATCTTTTGTCGCCGGGCCTGTTCAGCGGGATCCACCCCATCCTCCAGTGTGCTACCGGTTTGGATGCTTGCGGGAGGCGTAGGCGTCGTACTAGGTGCCGGTTCGATCGGTGCCAACTGGGCAGTGGCAGGTCGTGCCTGAAGGGAGCTAGCCACATGTTCCCCTCGTCCAGATGACGGCCGTGGTGCTGAGGTCGCAGCGGCCACCGGCTGGTATATCTCCGTCGAAGCAATGACTCCACCTCCGCGAGCTGCACCTCTACCGCGGCCGCGGCCACTTCCACGTCCCCGAACCGCACCCCGAGGGGGTGTCGCGGATGCCTGGGCTTCGTCGACCTCGGTGCCAGGGCGACGGCCACGCGTGCGCCGCTTGGGTCCGTACTCTTCGGTGTCAGTCTGAGCCGGTGTCTCGATAGTGGGCTCTTCGGAGCCAGAGGCTGCCATCTCTCGGTTAGCCGCCTCCAGCTCCGCGGCCCTGCGCTTGCGCGTTGCCTTGCCAACAAATTCCTCGCGTGGCGGGTTCTGGAACTTCGGCACGTGCTCGACTCCGAATTTGACGATGGTGCGCCAGCCATCCGGGTTAGGATGATTGGGTCCAATCTTAGCCGTCATCTTTCGGAATTGAGCGGGCGTTGGCTTGAACCCGCCCTGCGTGAATGGGTTCTGGTTGCCCACTTTATCCTCCTTGGCCTCGTACTTGTAGCCGTAGAGCATGGCTTCCTTCTTATCCTCAAATACTTGAGGCCTTTGCAACTTCCTCGGGTCGCTGGTCGGCTTGGCATTATGGCGAGTCGCTACCTTGTGCAGCTTTTCTATGGCCATATACTCGTCCTGCCACGCTTTCAAGGCATATGCCACGTTTTCTGTGATAGCATACAGCTCTTCGGTCGAGCGGTGCTCCGGGTCCCGAAGCGGCGCCAAAAACTCTTCTAGGGGAGTCATTTCTAGGAACTCCCCTTTGGCAGCTTTCACTTGCTTGTACGGTCCAGGCCGTTCAGCGAATTCGTTGTCTTCACGTTTTTGAGCGCGCTTCGGGCCCCGGAGCACCATGGACCAAGAGTGGTCTAGGTCAGACGACTTCTCGTCGTAGTCTTCCGAGAATTTACGGATATCATTGACACTCCACAGATTATGCAGACGTTGATCCAACGAGACTGAGTCTTGACCGCGAGAGAACTCATGAAGTTGATTCGAAAGAGCGTCAGCCTCTGGACCGTCAGCTTCATCGCCATCGACGCTTTGGTCCTTGTCGTTATCGTAAGCTTCCGTCGCCTCAGTCACGCCATTTGCAGCGGCTTCATCTTGCTCTTCGTCATCGGCTTCACTCTCAGCCGCGACCTCTGCATTGTCCTCTGCTTGAGGGTCGGCTTCGTGGAGTTGAGACTCTTCATCTTCGTCGGCACCCTCATACATGGAGAATTTGGCAATCTGCGGATGAACGGTAGCAATATGTTCTTTGAGAGCATCATATTGCGACTTGGAATCATTGGCAGACTCAAATTCCTTGCCGCACCAAGAGCATTTAGATTTGTGCGTCATGGGAGAAGGGGATGGAGACGCCTGAGTAGAAGTAGAGTGAGCGTGTAATGGCTCGGAGAATTGTCGGCGCAGCGGAGAGTCCTGGCTGGCCAAGTCCGAAGTATGGCTGTCCAGTTCCGCCTCGTTATGAGGAAGCGGAGCCATAATGGACAGAAAAAGAAGGTGAGGAGAAGAAGTAGTCAGATAGAAAGTAGTAGGATGTGAGAATACTAGCGAAAGGGATATCTGATCCTCCTTCGAGGGGCCCAACGTGGGATCTGGCTATAGTGTTAGTTGACTAACTTCCGGCTGAAAAGTTCGCTTGCGGCGCCAAGACGCCAGAAGTAACTGCAGCGCAATCTTCTACACCAGAGCCCCGAGAGCGTAAGGGTGGGAAAGGGGAAACCAAAACACGGTCGAGCAATCGAGACAAGTGAGATGCATGAGGAATTGGGCTGCTCTCCACTGGAGGATGGACCAAAACGTTGACAGAAACGTGGCAGACATGGCTTTGGCAGGCACAAGTAGAGCGTAGTATGGGTCAGGCAGGTGATATGTAACATACCTTTGGGCGAGGGAAAATCGCGTCAGTGATTCCAATAAACTGAGAGGAACAAGATTTGAAGATGTGAAAAGATCGCCCTCTGAGGAGCGCGATAGAGCAGAAGTATTGTGGTTGTTGTGCAGAGTCAACCACGGTGGACGCCGCGAACGGTTGGCAGGGATAGTTTAAGAGGTTCGTAGTTCTTGAAGAGGAAAAGTAGGAAGCCGAGCGGGTAAGCAGAAAAACTATGCGTCTGCCAGCGCCGGCAACAAACCAAGAAACCAGAAGCAAGAGATCTAGACAGAGAAGATAAAATGCACAAGATGAAGGGATTGAGATAGATGGCAGGATATGTTTGCTGTAGAGAGGAGAAAAGAGCTGGGGGTGGGAGTGTTAAAGCTTTCCGTAGCAGTGGAACTATGAAGTCTTGACGGAATGGGGGAAGACGGGCAGATGGCGAAAGAGGGAGGAAAAGGAAGAATGAAAGGGAGAAGATTCGGAGAGGTGGGATTAACCACAAGGAACACCACCAACAGCCCAGCACCAACACGGGAAGCGGGCAAGAAGAGGCAAGCAAGAGAGGATTGTGGGATGTTTAGACGCAGTGAATGCTGGGGGGAGAAAAGGAAGGGAAAGACTTGGAGTTTAGTTTGTAGAGGCAGCAGGTCGCCTTCACAAAGCGATCTAGTAGGAATAGTAAGTCCCAGTAAAGAAAGTACTTGAGCTTTACACTTACCTTACCTGGCCGGACTGGCCTTTGCAATCAACTTTTCGCACTGGGTTGGTATCGGCACCGCTTGGTGCTGGTACGCGCCATACGCAAGTTACCTTATTTTACTGTATGGACCCACCTAAATAGCCAATCTGGGGCTCTGATCCGCCCGGAAAAAGACCAGCTCCGGATAGATCCCCGTCACGCAGTCGCCGTAGTCTTGATCAGGCCAATCAAAATAATCGCAGTGGTCTGCTGGTCTGTTACCGGACAATACCCCCCCAGTCCTGTAGTCCAGGTCGGAGGTATACCTTGAGCGCCCTGAAGATGGACTTGTTGATGCTGAGGGATGCTTTTTCCTTTTCCCTACCAGGGGCTACTTTTGAGTGAAAAAGTACCCCTGAATCAGGTAAAGTATTGACTATCGCAGTAGCCGTCAACTCCACCTGGGGAACCGGGGGTAGATTACAGCACAGTTGGCGTCAACTTGGTCTCATCTTTCGGGTTGCCAACCTGATAGATGGACATTCATCGACCGTGTACCTGCCTGAGTCATGGGGCGGTATTGTTACCCCGTCTACGTGACATCATCTACTACGGTACTTTATTGAGGGACAAAATTCTCTTGTCAATAGTAGTCAGAATATTCCCTTCCAATGCATCATAGCTATACTTCAAGCTGGAAAGGATCGAATGACCTTTTCCTGTTTTCCAAACAAAGGGCAATGTGGGAGATATGGGCTGATGGTGTTCGGGAGCGACCAGTCAAATTGCCAGTGGTTGATGAACCATCACGGAATGTCTCGGTAACAATCCAATGCTGAAAGCATACTATGAAATGAGACGAGCGGGGGAAATGATCGAGTTCTGGCAGGTTCCGACATGATCATTAGCTAGCTGCGTAGACGTTGGTGGGCCCAGTCTTCCTCACACTCATCATTATCATTGACAAAGTATTATTATGATGGTACTATTGTTATTATAGCGCAAGCTAGGCCTAATATCCAGCTCATTTCGACTGATTCGGGCTGCTCCTAATCAATTGATCCCTGTGTTATCTCCCGGTCTTATCAGGCATAACACCACCGCCACGGAGTTCTTCTGCTGTCCCATCGCTATTGTTCAGCAAAATGTTTAGAATGGTCCATACATAATATCACTGTAGCAATCAATGGCTTTTTAAGACCTGAGAGATTATCATATCCTCTGAAAATTACCCGCTTAATGATATAGGTTTCGCCATATCCCTGCCGTTGAGGCATTAAGTTTTCTTGGCCTATTATACATTTTTATGGCGTCGGTATACTTCACCGCGCACCCCTCAAAGCTTGCTGCGAAGCTTGCTATAGATTCTGAGATGTATTTGTTCTTACCATATCATAGATAGCCTGACACTGCTTTCGTGCTCTTATTGCTTCCAGTAACGCGCGCTGTTATTCTTTTGATATTGAATTACAGAGAGCCGCCACGCGGCAGCGTATTGTAATGCTAGCACGCAAAGCGTGTTTCATCCCTCGACTATGAAGGACTGGGGCAGAAGCGCCGTCTCCGGTAACAGGATTGCTCCTGGGGTCATCAAACCTACAAGCTGAGCGAGGATGTTGTCTTCCTTCTGGATATTGGCAAGCAAGGGGGTGAAAACTCATGGAAGATCGACTTGCAGCACTGACACTCACATACCCCTACGTTAACATCTAATCATAACTCGTGTCGAGCATGAAGTCAGATAGGTAAAATATCTTTGAGAATATTGGCCGTACATACAGAGACATGTTGCGCAATGGATGTAGCGGCGGTCTGTTTGATTGAGGATTGAGTTTTGAATTCTCATATGCAGGACGGAGTGAGGTGGGGAGGCCTTTGCTTCTTTTACTATGAGATTAGCAGGAGGTACTATTGGTGTCGCTTGGACTCTCTTGCATTATTGGGTAGCAGGTAATGCATGTTCAGAAAAGCACCAGCTGCCGTCCCACTCAGCATTATATATAAGCTATTGTCAAGTGGGTTATCGGGTGTGACTGTATTAACAGTACTATGTTTTACCATAAGGTTGTCGGCAGGCGTACTTTGTTGAACTGGATATATACATGGGAACTTGAGGGTGTGGCTGGTCATGATTCAGTAGTAAGTTACACTCTATAGGCAAAATCTGGGTGGTAGTACTTAGTTGGTAATTTCCCCTTAAGGTAGCTCAAAGAATCTAAAATGTGAGTACTACTTAGTATAACTCGCTAGTTGACAATATATATTTTACCGTGGGCAATGCAGTACTAGTTGGATTGTCCGTCGAATATCTATTTATAGCTTAGTTTGTTGCGACTGCAGTATCCTGCAGTGCTTCTAGTATACACGCGTCGACGGTTCTCGCCAGTCGATTCAAGTGAGACAATAAGCCACTGCGAGAAAGCCACCCGCCATCTATGGTTTAGAGTCAGTATGGCATTGGACGAATCCCTCCAAAGGCAGAGTAAGAAAGATACTTCACCCGCTAACGCCTCCTGGGCCCTTGGCGCAGGTCATCCGGGCTCCACCGCCCAACCTCGGATTCCCCAGAGCTCCAGCTTGCCGTCCATTCACTCCCCGATATTATTGTCTTCTTCTTGACTGTTATACCTGCCCGCCATTTTTTCAATATAACATACCCTCACTCATAAGGCATCGCTACCATCTGCACGATGCGCCCCAAGTCTTCAAAACCTACCAGCGATGAGCTGCTCGCTCAATTTGACGACTTGGGTGTCGACTCTGCCCCCGAGCAGCAGCCCTCCAAGGCGGCTCCCAAACCCACTACCGCACAGTCCGAGCAGGACATCCTCGCAGAACTGGACAGTCTAGCTACTCAGCGCCCCAGCAGTGGCCCTGGCACCCCGCGCGTGTCCACAAACGAACCCAGACCTACGATCAAGTCGCCCAAACCGGCTGCCACTACCACAACCCCCTCCACCGGCCGTTCCAGTGAAGAGAAACAGGCGCCTCGTAAGTCGGAAGAGAGCACCAGAGCATCCGCTGCAGAGAAGAAGGCTGCAGATGCTCCGAAGCCGGAGACTGAGAAGCCAGAGGCCCAGGAGAAACCTGCCTCGAGCGGTGGTGGCGGTGGATGGTGGGGTGGTATCTTTGCAACCGCCAGCGCTGCCATGAAGCAGGCTGAGGCAGCGGTCAAGGAGATCCAGCAGAATGAAGAGGCTCAGAAGTGGGCTCAGCAGATTCAGGGAAACGTGGGAGCTCTCAAAGACCTAGGTATGATTCTCTACCTGACTTCGTTTTCTTCCGAATGGCCGCTAACGACAGACCACCAGGTGGGGAGCTGCGCAACATGGCTATTCCTACGTTTACCTCCTTCATCCACACGCTCGCCCCTCCCATCTCGTCCCACGAACGTCTTCAAATCCACGTAACACATGATTTGTCTGGCTACCCCAGCATCGACCCTCTGGTGTACGCGGTGTTCTCGCGCGTGATGGCGCAGGTCGAAGGCGGGGATCTCCTTGTCATCCAGCGGGGTCAGGAGTCAGCCCCGAAGCGCGGACTGGATATCGGCGGCGCCCAGTTCTCTGGCCCGGGCTGGCATGATGGCCCATGGTGGCGCACCGTGACGCCCGGCAGCCCTCGCACTCTGTCGGCCATCCGAGGCACAGTCGAGGCCACCAAGCTTGCGCGGGCCAGCGCCGAAGCCTACGCTACTGAGTACTTCTCGGCCAAGGGCGGCGTCGAAGCGGCTGCAAAACAAGCTACCCAAGATCTAAGCGAGACCAACCCGGTTCGCAGCAGCGACATCTTCCTCGCGATCCAGGCCATCAGCCAGACCACCTCCACCGAACTCTTCCAGGCGGGCCCCACAACCGACCAAGCCACTCCAGCAGGCGTTGTCGATGTGCCCGAAGCCGCCGAGGAAGAAGTCGTCTTCGCCCTGTACCTCCACGACCCCATCCACGGCATCGCCTTCCACACGCTCTCCCAGGCCATCCCTCAGAAATGGATCGACTGGCTCGAGACCCCCGCTATTCCAGTGGAGGACCCTGAGTCCGAAGACGCCAGCGTCCCTCGTACCACCATTCCCGACGACATCGCCGACATTATCGAGAACGGCGGCGTCGACCCCCGAGAATGGGCGGCCGAGTGGATCGAGGAGAGCCTGTCCCTGGCTGCGGGGCTGGTTGCACAACGCTACGTGGCGCGGAGAATGGGCGTCGGCGAGGGCGGACCGGCCAAGGGCAAGATGCGTGCTGAGCAGGCATCCGTGGTGGACAGTGGCGCAGGCGAGGCCGCACGCGCGATTTAGAGTTAGGTTGATGTGGTGGATACGTCGATCAATCCTGTTCTTATTCCTTATCGTATTTGCGTCTTTTACTCTTTTATCTTGTCTGCCTTTTTTTGGGGCGTTTGTCAACCATTCACATGACCACATGATACGATACGATCCCACTTTCCACCCCCACATATTCTTATCTTCGTTCTATTGAGCCATGACATGACAGTTTCTCCATATTCGCGCCATCTGCGGCGTCCTTAATACCATATACATACAGACACAGACACATACCTTGAACTAAACCCGTATCCAATCAGCCCCATGTACATATGACAGAGACATGATAAAACAAACAAATACAACCAACGCAGTCTACGCAGTCTACGCCATCTACTACACGTGCCCACATCAAATCTACAAAAATGACAAACAAAATAGCAATCAATCATATATTGTATTCCAAATTTTCAGGGAACATCAGTAGTAACAAACACAACCTTTGCGGGTATCTAAGGTAGTAAGTAGTAAACCAGATAGTAACAAGCAGACAAAAACACATAAGTCTCCTTATCACATCATCTTCAATCTACAAGGTCGTTATTCCATTCCGTTTTGCGTTACGCACACGCACTCGCATCATGCCATGAATCAAATTGAATTAATTCAATCAATCCAGATGCAGCAATTGCCCTTCCAGGCCAGGAACATGCCAGAAGTTGGCGCGGAGGGCGGTGACACTGCACATTAATATTAGCATTATCCTTAAGAAAGATTCCAAACAAGCAAGAATAAGAAAGGAAACGGGGGGTAAACCAACCTAGTACAGCCACTCAAAACCGTATGAGCATCCGTTCCCTCCGGACTCTCCTGCAACGCCCTCTTCATATCAGACAACTCGGCCGCCCAGGCAAAGTTACGTTTCTTCAAACCACCACCATCACCCTCAGTCTTTGGCGTGACTGTCTTCGTGGTACTACCATTCGTGAGCTGCTGCTGCTGCTCCTCCTCCTCCCCATTAGCAGCAGCAGCAGCAGCATGTCCATTGACACTACCAACAACAGGCGCTGCCTTCTCCCCAGAGACCTCGGAATACAAGTACCCTCTCGCCCAGTAATACGGGTACGTGCGAGTCCACAAGACAGGACGAGACTCGACATCCAGACGCATGGGCACATTCACATTATACAGCTCGACCTGGTCATCCCAGTTCTGGATGAGATGGTTAACGACTCTAGTGGCGAGACGAGCCGCAGCGTGGATGATATCTAGGGGCTGTTCATCTTTGCTGCCAAAGGAGATGGCGATGCCACGTTTCCCGCATGTAGCCGCTTCCAGGGCGCCGCCGACGGTGCCGGAGGAGAGGTTGTAGATGGTGGAGGCGTTGCGGCCGTGATTGGGGCCGGAGATGACGAGGTCGATGGGGCCGCGGTCGGGGAAGAGGTTGTGGAGGCCGAGTTGGACGCAGCTGGCTGGGGTGCCGTTGGTGATTATCACCCAGTCGTCGTTGGCATTGTTGGTGGTAGTGGGATCTTGTTGGAAGGATTCATCCCATGTGCCATCACCGCGAAAGGCAGCGGGTGGGACATAGGTGGCTGTGAGTGAGGCTTCGATTAGATGGGCTTTGCCGATCCAGGAGCGGGAGGCGGCGGGAATGGCCACGGAGATGCGGTGGCCGGCGGACTCGAGTGCCGTCACTAGTGGCTCGATGTATGGGGAGAGGCGTCTGGACGGCGGACCGTCATCGTTGACTACCTGATTATTTTGTTTTTGTGTTAGTGTGTGTGCGTTTAGCTAATTGAGACTAGTCATGTAGCTTTCTCTCGTGCTCCGTATACGGAGAAAAGGTAGATAGGTAGGTAGGTAGGTAGGGAACATGGGGGTTGGCAAAGAAGCGGTGACATTGGGCAGCACATGTTAAAGTTCAATTGATGATGACAAGGAGGGAAGATGTTAATAAAGCAAAAGCAAAAAACATACCAATATATGCATGATGAAGGAAGATCTAGTAGATGTGTTTTGACTCGTGCTGGGGCAATAAGAGAAGAATAATGGTATATTCTTTTTCTTCTTTCTTTTCTGGAATCGGATTGGATTGGATTGGATTGATTGAATTTGATGCTTCGGACTTTTGAAATCGGAATTTACAAAAGCAGCGACCTATAATTTCCCAACTTTTTTCTTTTCTTCTCAGATTCCCACACACACACTCTCTCTCACACACACGCACGCGCGTTGCACTCTTTTTCGCTCTTTCTCCGATGGGAAAAAAAGTGGATGGATCCGCACTGGGATTATTTTGGGGCTCGGGGCTCGGACTCGGATTCAGGGTTCAAGTTGCAGTTTGTATTGCAGTGATAGTGTATTATGATATATGATAATTGCTTCTCCAGATCAACATCTGCCAGCCTGTTCCTTCCCCCCGGTATTTATAGGGAAGATTTAGCTGGGTAATCGTTGAGCCCGACAGCCATTTTCGATCACCGTTTACCCCGACCTCGAAGAGAAACCGGGGAGAATCTGGCCTCCATCTCCAAATCGGTCACGGTGAAGCTGTTGCGCTGCGGGGGGGCGTTGCTCTGAAGACGTCAACTGTGGTTGCGAGCCTCCGTTATGACGGTGACCGGACGGGTATGGGACAGTGCTTGAACTATGGGATGGAAAGGATTAAACACGTAATATTACCGTATGTGACAGGACGGGACGGAGACCAGCCGAGGGACGCCGAAAAGAGGCTGCGGTGAGGAAAAGCAAAGCCTGCGATTAAGTCATACCTCGTGGGGATTTCAAGAAGACGAATCGGACCATCCAGAACAGGTGCATTTCCAAGGAGGGAATTTGCCCGGCCTGAGAACTCGGCAGTGAGACGGTCAGCTGAAAAGAAAAGAAGAAGAAGAAGAAGAAGAAGAAGAAGTGATTCGGGTTATTGTTTAGATAATAGATTGATTTCGTCAAGTAGATCTTTGAAGAATAGTATCCCCGTCGCATGTCAATAGTAGGGCATTTCATCGGGGCACCCCTGTGAAACGACACTATGTCGGTCATGGCTTTAAACTACTACGAACTAGTTAGATGTCTAGTAGGATAAGAGGGTGATCCGAGCATGATGGAAAATACCCCGTAGAGTAAGGCACCAGGAGGTGCAGGCAAGGTGACTGATTATGGGGCTCGGAGCAAAAAGCAAAGAAGGAAAAAGAAGGAAACAAGAGCATCATCAGGCGGCACACGTTCAATGCAACACAACGATTGCCTCAGATACCCTAGATTAGACTACAATAAGGTAGACGGCAGAAGACCAGATAAATCCGACAAGGAGATTGTGGTCACCAATCAATTGGGATACCAAGGGAATGCTACTCTTCCGTACATATGCACTGAAGGCCCCTAGTGTCTGCATACTTCTTCACGTAGGGGACATTAAGACACACACACACATATTTACTTAGATCCTGGCATCATTGTGCCATTTGGTGCTGTTGGCTTATCTACGGAGGGTTTTGAACTCTTCGGGGTAAAAGAGGTCATGTGTGTATGCATATTCTTAGCTAAGATGATCATACTGATCGATTAATTATTGCACATCACTCATGAATAATCGGTAGAATAATCATCACGACACCCACCTACTAATACTAAATAACTATCTATCCACACAAAAGTCCAGAATGGCACACGGGTGTGTGCGGCTATTGCAGGCTTAGAGTGGTCCCGTGCCCTACTGATTATTAGTGATTATTGTTGGTTGTTTAGGTTTTCTTTGCTCTTGTCTTTTTAAAAAAAAAATTTTTCTTTTTTTTTCCAGACCCTGATGGGGCCACACTATGAATTTTTTATATGCGAATCCTGAACGGGAAATGCAAACCCACGTCCACTTCCCAACCAGCCATGGACAGGCTTCTAGAATAAGAATCAGGACTACTGTGTTAGGCCGCAGGACCACACACGCTGATTGCTCAGGAGCGCCTTATTCTTAGTTGGAAAAGCAACCACGGTCCCATCCCACCGGCGCCAAGTTGCCAATCATTCCTCTCGGCGGGTCTGTTCTATCCACGCTTTGCTCCATGGCGTTGTGGTTACTCCGTGGTAGCCGCGAGTCAAACAGCCCCTCTGACCACCGGCACCTGGACCGACCTTTTCTAGCAATAATATCGATCCATCCGCGGAGGACAGCCCCCCGTAGTCGGTTTCAACGGAAATCATTTTCTCGCGTAATCCTCGACTGTCATGTCATGTTGGGCCATAAACGCTATCACTCACCAACCAGGATTGGGGTGGTCAGTAGTGTGTGTGTGTGTGTGTGTGTGTATGCACCTTGCACACTGGCTTAATGGCTGCAAGTGGTCGTTGTGTCCGTCGGTCCTCCTTGTTCATTGTAGGTTGCAGTAGTTTCAGGCGCGAGGGGACGATCCACGGCTTGACCCCTCTTTGTACCGCGTTGGTTTGTAGGGAGGACCCCTGAGGATCAAACTCCGACGGCCATGAATAGATAGAGAGGTGTACGTACTAGTAGTTGTGTGGTCGCGGTGTGTGTGTGTGTGTGTGTGGTTTCCCCTCATCATGGTCAGGGATAAACGCTGGACCAGCTGCAAGATATATTAAGATTGATTAATATATGGTAGAACATATCAAGTGGCAGGCAGCTGCCATCGATGAGTGAACGAGGCCGCGGAGGAGGAACCCAGCTCGTGCGTATGCGGACCTGGTCAGTGCGGAACTTATCAGAGGAATTAGTAGAATTAGTAGAATAAATCCAAGTATGTTTAATGCAAGCAGCACCTCGGAGGCCGATCGTCGCAAAATCTTTGGTGGGGAAGACCAAGCAGCGCCAACCCAGTCGGTCCAAGTCAGTCAGCCACGGACGCCGATTTTCTGCTCGCTTCGTCAGTCCAGCACTGACTATCCATCTTCTCCCTTTCACTCCTGCTTCGTGCATCACTTTCATCATTGCCCTTTACGGTCATCATCTCCATCATCATCATTCCTGTCCGCTTATATATCTAGCGGTCCTTCCCCTCTTCCCGATCACCACCACCATCACCAACTACTACTAACTCCGAACCTCCGCCAAAACCCACCCAAACCCACCGCCCGCTTCGGTTCCCAACAGACTCAGGAACGCGCCAAAGACCTGCTCCGGCTTCTCACAAAGGTCTTTCTTCCATCACCATCCCCCTTCCATCTGCCCCCCTGTATGGACTGCGGGACGACTGGCACGGCTGCGGGCATCGACCCCAAAATTCTAGATAACTGGCAATCGGATACTTTTCCGATCTATTCCGCTTACGATCAACCGCTGGAGTGGGATGCGAGCCAGGACTCGAGTCCAGGCGATGCGGATGTCGTGGATCTGAGCAACCTTCGTGGTCCGCTGTCGCGGGACCAATCCACCGTCCCGGTGGTCGGTCATGCTGGCGATTATCGAGGTAGTGAGAGCAGGTGCGACTCGTCTCATCTCCCCTAACCTTGGAGCTTCCCGCTGACAGGTACCCCTCCCCGTGCAGCAGCAAACATGGTGCCACTTCCCCCGGAAAGTTCAGCATCAACGACGGTCCTATCGAAGGCACCGTGAGTGGTACGATCAGCCCCAGGACGCTGCCCTCTTCTGCCGACGACAATTTCCAGCTGGATGAGTCATGGCCGCCATTTCAACTGTTCAACGCCATGACGGCTGGCCTTCCCATGGAGGCTCCCCTTATGTACCCGTACGCTAAGGAGCCTGCCTCCACCAACACGGTTATTGTAGAGGATACCGGAGAGTTGCCGCAGGGACAGGGCTTGTCCGATCTTCCTCCCGATCCGTTCCTCTCTTTCCAGAATATTCCCCAGGCGTTCCCCTTCTCGACCGCTGAGACTTGGACGGCACCGACTGCGCCCGCTCCCACGGACAACCTGCCTAATCAGACCCCGGTATCTCTGTCCATGGGTCTGCAATCAGCTGCCAAACGTCCAGGACACATCCGCGACTACCAGGGTTCGATGCGATCACTGGATTCCCGCTGGCTTGAAGGTCTGGAGTCTCAGCTGTCTTCCAACATGACATCGCCTGCATCCTTGTCGATCCCCCAGGACGCGACATTCTTCAAGGAGGAGAGAATTCAGCATGACGGCTTGCAATACAAATCGGAGAGTTCTTCGGTTTCTGGAGATTTTCCCAGCGTCTACGAACCGTTCCCCGCTAGTAACGATGAGATCCCCGCTTTTGCCGATCGCCAACTCGAAGACAATGGACTCTGGAAAGATACACAGAAGGAGAGCACTTCTTCGGAGACATCTCAACCTCTACAAAATGCGACCGCCTTCATGGTCAGTGAAGACCCTTCGGAGGCCTACTTCACGCCGGTCTCTGCAAGACCCAGAGCCTCGTCATCTGCGCAAAGGGCGCCGGCTCGGCCACAAGCTCTTGCACTTCAGACAGTGGCCACGGTCAGAAAGCGCAAGCAACGTAACTCAAGCGTGCATCTGGACCAGAACCTGCCCAAGCCTTTGCAAATCGTGCAGGAAGACGGCCAAGGAGGATCTATTGCTTCGGCAGATTTCATATCACCGCCTCGGGGAGCGCGCCGCAAGGGCCCTCTGAGCATGGTCGGCAGGGCTAATGCTGGACTGCGACGAAAGAACAAGGACACATGTGTCCAGTGTCGACTGAACAAGCGCAAGGTATGCACTCAGCCGATCTAATTCTAGATTTGCATCTAACGAAATTGCAAGTGTGATGGCAACGCCCCGTGCGATGCTTGCCGCCCTACGCTCCACGAGCAGCCATGTGCACGCGCCTGCTTTGCCAACATCGTCGAGTACGGTACATGTAACTATGTTTGTATGTTGCAATCTCTACGCCACTTGTATTTGTCCTTGTTGCTAACGAACACCAGCTCAACGCGCCATCAACCATCCCACCACAGATGGTGCCAGACGCATCCGGATGGACATTCCTTCTGAGTTCGACCTCAATGACCTGATCACATTCCTCGGTGAGCGACAAGGTCGATTCAACATCCGTGCCAAGCAATCCTGGGGATCCCTCTATGTCCTTGACCTCGGGGAGACCTACAAATTCCTCCGCGGACTCAGCGAGTACAATGGCAACTCCAAGTCCAATTTTCTCGACTTCATTGATCGGCGCATTGTCGAGTCGAAGGACAAGTCCAAGAACTGGCTCACATGCGTGAAAGACTGCGACCCGATGAACAATGTTTATGTAAGTGATCATTGATGTCTGCTTAATGCGAACAATTACTGACTTTAATAGTCCTTACTCTCGCAATGGAACAACATGCCTAGCCGTGCTAGCTACAGCTTCGTTCCTCTTCAAGCCGGAGGCCAGGAGAGAACCATGGACATCAACAACCCTGAGGACCGTCGCGAAATTCTCCTTGCAGCACAGTTGTCTCGCATCATCTGCCGCATGCTCGAGGTGGAGGGATTCCGAAAGCTGGAGCGTGACTTCTACAACATCAAGTGGAAGCAGATCTCTCAAGAAACCCACCTGCGTTTCCTGAGCGAGCTCGGCCATATCCTGCTTACCCTCCGCTGGCGAGTCTCCTGGTGGCGGCGTCTCGGTGATGGCGGTCGCGAACCCGACCCCAGTAAGCAACATTACGTGGATCGGGTTGACCTACTCTGCCGGATTCTCTACGTCTACTACACCTGCGTTCTGGCCAAGCTTCCTTCCTGGTGCGCCGCCGATGTTCCCAAGGGCATCTGGAACACATATGCCGATGCCGAGAATGCCGTGTGGGATGACTTCCCAGTCGACCCTACCGACGAGGGATTCCGGAGGTGGATTGATCGCGGCCAAGAGCTGGTCGAGCAGTCCGGTGCCCCGACCTGTGTTGCGAAGCTAGGCAAGAACGCCTAGACGAGTCGACCTGGAGAAAACAACCCAAAAAAGACGGCGGATGGAATGATACTGAATTTGAGATACCCTTTGAAGCGATATAACTTTTGTCTCGTCTCCTCTACTTTTGCGTTATTATGAGTGATGATCCGTGCTAATTTTCGTGGATATAATTATTATTTGGGCTGTGTATATGTCATTTCTCATACATAGTTATAGATTTCATTCTATTTCGGTTCTATTTCAAATATAGACAAGCAAAAACTTTGCAGTAGTGTGTCAAAGGGTATCGTATGTTCATTAATCATATACTGAACAGAATGAAGTAATAGCAACAGCAATAGCAACCCCACACACCTCCCCTTTTAATCAATCACAGAATCCCAAATTATACTATAACCCCCCTATTTCTTCACATTCCCCTTAGTATCCTTCTTCTTATCCTTCTTTCCTCCCGCCAACAACTCCAAATGTCCCGCCTTCTCTGCAAGATTCTTCTCCGTCCGGGCCACCAAACCCGCCGTGAGTTTCTACACATATCCCCATGATTAGCATTATTGAACCACCAAGATAAATAACCGGGGGAGAAGTGGAGAAAATACCTTAGTCAACTTCTGCTGCTTCACCAACGTCGTCTTCTTAGGAGCGATTTGTCTCGGTCCGCGCTTGGGGCCCAGGGCTGAGGGACTGCACAGGATTTCACAGAGGTTAGCTTGATTGATCACCATCTTGTTCCTGGTGTATGTGATGAAAATAATCCATCAAGACCCCCCCCATATCTCATTCATAAAAAGATAATTGGATGGATGGGTAGGTAAGTAGGTATCGACGTACCGCTTCACAAGATTCCCACTGTTGCCCGCGGGCTTCTTCTTGAGGGATCCTTGGACCATGGTTGCGAGTTTTATATTATTATGATTCTTTTCTTTGGTGTAGAGAAGGTAGCTGCCTGCAGCGATGAATATGTATATGTGTATGTATGTTGGTTCAGAGGTGTGGTCGCAGTCGGGTCGGAGAAAAGAAAATTGCTTATCGGGAGGGAGTGCGGGCGGAGTTGTGGTTGCTGGGGGGCTAGGTTGCTTATCGATATATCACGTGACTAGATATAGCTTACTACTACGGATGGAGTGCATAGTTAGTTAATAGTTAGCTAAGCTAAGCTTTGGGGATACAATTTTATGGTGTGTACATACTAATAATTGCATAATTAATTACTTGGGCACCATGTATGTGTATAAGGGAGCTAGCTATGTGACAGTGTTATGATCTGCGCGTGCATGTTGGATTGTTGGATTTCTTTTGTCATCTGTTGGTATGGGAAAGGGGGGCGCATGGGATGGGGTCGGATTCTTTGCAAGTTTCAGTTTAAGATGCGGATGCGGTGTAAGCCGTTGGTATGGATACATACGTAATAAAGAATAAGAGAGTTAGATTAGCTTGAAGATGAAGGGATGGAAGGGAAATTGGCATCTCCATCTCTGATTATCAGTCATTGATAGGATCGAGGGGGTTCCATTTAGATGAAACATTAGTGGGAGATCATTTACTGTGTAGGCTAGTTATCCCTACGTTTCTATGTGGAAAGCCTTCTAAGGCTGATTTACGATATACTATCAATTGTCCTTGAATGCAGCTCTGGTATAATACAATGCTCTTATTATTACCCTTGCTCATTAACTATGGGGGTATATTGTCATAAGTAAAGAGTCGACGAATCGAATCGAATCGCTGCAAACGTAAATACTCTCAACAACTCACTCGCGCTCTGGCGCGTTCTTGTACATACAACTGTCTCAGATAGGTACATCCTCCATCACTTTACAAATTCCTTAAGAATGCTGGATTGCTGCTCCGCTTAGAAAGCAAGGACGGCAGCGACACCGACGGCGACGGCGCCGAGGCTGATGGCGTTGCGGTCAGCAGCACCGGTGAAGACGGGGGAGACGGAAGAGCTGCTGGCAGCAGGGGTGCCGGAGGGAGTGGCAGAGCTGCGGATGAGGCTGGCAGAGCCGGAGGCAGTGGGAGCAACGACGAAGCTGGAGGGCTTGTTGCCACCGACAACAGGGACGGAGGTGAAAGTGGGCTTGACGTCGGCAGTGGCGGTGGCAGTCTCAGGGCAGATAGTGCTGGTGATCTTGCTGATGATGACGCTGGTCTCGGAGGCATCAGAGCTCACAGCAGCGGCGGCAGTGGTGCTAGTAGCAGCGGCAACAGAGGAAGAAGAAGAGTAGGCAGGGTTGGAGATGCCGAATTGGACGGAGTACTGGTACTGGCCAGTGCCCTCAACAACGAGAAGGATGCCGTAGTGGGTGGTGTCAGGCTCGAGGGTGGTGCTGGGAGTCCAAGAGTAGCTGCCAGAGTTGCCGATGTTTTCGACGATGGTCTCGAGGGGGACAACGTTGGTGCTGGGGCCGCGGAGAAGGACCAGAGACACGCTACCCGAGGTAGTAGGGTCCCAGGTGATCTCGAAGGGCTTGCCAGCAGGAACAATCTGGTTCAGTTCGGGGGTGAGGATGGCATTGCCGGTGGGGCTCTGAGAGTAGTCGGGCTGAGTGTAGGCAGAGGCCAGGGCCGCAAGGGCAGAGACGAGGGCAGTGGAGAAGAAACGCATTTTTTCGATTTCACTTTCGTGTCTTGTGTGTGATGTAAAGAATGATAGTAGGTAGGGATATTGGAGAGTGTAATTCAAAGAGTGACTGGAAGTAAAACTTCGTGTATGTAGTGCAAAGGAGTGACTACCGTGGGAGAGGGCGAAAATGCGAGGGACGTCAAATCGTGAGAAGGGAAGGAGAGAAAGAGAAGGAGGAGGGGGGAGAGAAACATTCAAGTATATGAATGATGGGGATGTGACAGGCGTAGGACAAGTCCCTTCACAGCCCCCCCTCTCAATTCCCCCCTATGGAGGGGATGACATTCACTACAACCTACCAGGCTCCAAGCCCAACATCGCCAAATCTGCGGCTCATTTCCCGGTGGGTCAAGGGAAATTATTCTTTCTTTCAAATTGCTGATTGGGAGCTTGCTCAGGAACAGCGTTCAAGACTACTGCTAGTGACCTACTATTGCATGGTTAGTCTAAGAGATGTCTGGTAAACTTTGAGAACGGTGGAATGTATGGGGCCTACCCTTCCCCAACTAAACCTTGCGAAATGAATAGGCGATGTCACCTCAAGGCAGTATGACTCTCTGACTGGCTTACACGGCGGTTTAGTCCGCTGTTAGTCCGCTTGGATCGCGTCCCCTCCATCGTGGATATGCTCAAAGATACTCGGAGGCGTGGGCCACTCAGAAATTGAGATAAATTGAGACCGCAGATACGAGGGATGAGCGGGGGTTCATCTGCCAGGGCGCTAACAGCCTAGCAATTTTAGGAGAGACATCGAATCAAGGCTCTCAGCGTGGGAGCCTAAGAGTGGGAGGAGATATTTACTGAATGCTACCACCTGTGGGTAACAGTGTATATCCGCCTAAAACTAGGCTTGTTATTAGTACGGAGTAGATCAAACTAATGCCAACGGTACCAAAATCCAGAGCGTAAAAGTAAGAGAACTAGCCACGAAATCGGCAAAATGGTACCATTTGACTCAGAAGAGGGTCTCAGCTCTAAGCCGGCGAAGCCGTGGGACATGTGAAACAATCATAACCTTATGTCAGACCAAGCCAGGAACAACGGAGGAACCCCGAGAACGGAGAAGGGAGGATGTTGTTGTGATGATGGCTAGCAGCAGCAGTCCGGAGTAACGACTGGAAGGGAAAAAGAGTAGAAAGCGAAGTTTGTTGGTGGAACTTGGCCCGCAAGGGGATTCGCGCAAAACAAACAAACAAACACCACCACCACCACCACCATCATTTACCTCCTTTCCTCGTCTTGCTCGTCCCTCTCCTTCCAGCTTTGTTTCACTTCCAGAAGCTCGAGCGGTTTTTTCCCTCTCACACATCTCACATTTCTGGCAAATAACATCCGGAGACTTTTCCATTCTCAATGACATAGCCCGCAGGGCAAATTACCTGGGAAATTACATTCATGTAAAATTTACGATGGATGGATCAGTGCCCCTCATAAAGTGGTGCTTGATTGGCTTCGCCTTCCGGAGCCTTGCCAGCTTCTTCCGGTCAGTCTTGGTCTGGCACAAATGAGACATAGACACGCCACGAGGCCGAAGCGTTAAATCACGAAAGTGGCCAGGCACAGAGTTTAATTACCACTTTCGAATATTGGGACCAGAGGCACCCAATCCATCTCGTGTCCTCTCCAAAAAGTCCAAAAGCACCAAGGAACCTGTCCGGTGTCCCCACCCCCGTGTAATCGGATAGTCGCCTAAATTGCTACGGAGAAACACAAAAAAGTCATGTTACTACTACTACCCACGTATTCCCTCCCTTTTTTCTCTCCCGCTGGCTGCAGATCAACCGATTATCAAGGGGGCTCGGAACGAGACATTCATTCTGCAAACTGACCGTTCTACAATCAAGTCCCGCAAGAGCTGTGATCAACATCCTCAATGAAGTCATCCATGGCTATGTTGGGTGAAGATTCTCCGGTTCCTGTCGCTCATTCCTCGTTCCTGACCGGGTTAGTGGACCCTTGTTCCGACTGCCAATGCCACTAACAAGGCACGATAACTGATAACATGCCTTCGTTTCGGTCTTCCGTACCAAGGGAAAATGAAAAATGACCCATCATACTGCGAACCTTCAAGGGACAAGCACTCCCGCAAGTATGTACCTTGCAGATCAACCAAACAAAAACAACGGGATGGCTTTCCATGAGCACGCCTGCCAGTAACCTTCGTGTTGGCAAGCTATCTCCGCTCGAGGCCAAATTCCGCTGCCCACACAGCATGTAGTCGTATCGCTTACCACGTGTGGGTGAGTGCAGGAATTTTCCCAGTGGCGTCGGAGACTAGTTCAAATGTCTCGGACTCCGATACCTGACCTTGCAGTCTGACTGCTCATGATCCATCTGCTGTGGATATCATAGGTGGCGGAAGCTTTCTAGTTTAGTTCACGCCATCACCAAAGACTGTCGGTGAAATTGTGACCAATTACATCCCGGATTGGACTTATCCGAAGACGTGCAGTGTTCTACACAATCCTCCGTGCACTTGCAGTCGTGCACAATATCCGACTTCCGGCGCTTGACAAAGCCTCCCAGGATAGTTACACGCTCTATTTACAGTAACAGTCGGTCGGTTCCTGGTCCGCCACCCATCAGCGAGCAGTGATAGACTACTGGTCCAGACTGTGAGAAAGGCTTGGATGCAACCGGGAGTGGCTCTTCCCGGTATCGCTAAATAAATTAAGAAAACGAAAAGCCAAATAAGATGATGTGCTTCGTATTGCTGGGCCCTACTGAACCCTGCATCGAGTGGGTATTGTGATCAAGGGTCCAGTCCAGTCCCCTTCGCTGTAATAATGCCAGCCATGGTCCCAATATCGAACTATTGGCATCGGTCTACTCCATGTGGCCTCTCATTCGTCTTCCTAGTGGACGACAACTTCCCAAAGGCCTCCAATTACAAACCCGACCAGGGATCGTTTGAGCGCTACGAGTCGGTGCAGTCCGCGCGCTCTTTCCTTATTCTACCCAAGTAATCGTCTTGGTTTGCAGCCACTCGTCGTAACCGGAGGTTCCTCCGAAGCGACCGTATCCGCTGCTCTTCCAGCCGCCATGGGGAAGAACAGGTTCGTCGTGCACGGTCAGAGAGTTGATGTGTACAGCTCTATTCATAGTCAAAAGGGGTCAGCAGATGGCACTTTCGGATCAGACGGAGAGCGATCTCGACCAACATAACTTACCCTGCTTCAATCTGCTTGGCAACCCTGAGGCCACGGAACAAGTTACCCGTAAATACGGCCGAAGTAAGGCCGTACTCCGTGTCATTGGCCAGTGTCACAGCGTCTTCCTCGCTGTCAACGACAATGAGGGATACAGTCGGGCCAAATGACTCCGTGAAGTACATATCCATGTTCTTGGCGACATCGCCAACGATCACAGGCCGCATGCTGCTGTTGTTTAAGTCAACGGCCGCGGTGTCGCCATAGACAAGGTTGGCGCCTTTGGCAAGCGCATCCTCTACCAGCTCCTTGTTCTTCTTCACTGCAGCAGGTGCAACGAGGACCAATGCCGGCCCGTGCTTGCCGAATACTTTCTCCACCGCCTCCGCTATCATTTGCTTGAACCTGTCTGCAATAGACCGCTGTACTATAACGCGTTCCGTCGACATGCAGATTTGTCCGGACTATGTTCGAATCAGCAGGCGATTCTATGCTAAACTGACCAACGTCTAAGCTCTTACATGCATAAAGGATCCCAGTGCACAGCACATGGCGGCCTTTTCCAGGTTGGCATCGTCCAAGACGATGGCCGAGGCTTTGCCTCCCAGTTCGAGGAGTACCGGCTTCGTATATTTGCCGGCAGTGGACGCGATGATTGAGCCCACTGTGGTGCTACCGGTGAAATTGATCTTGCGCACAGCCGGGTGAGCGATGAGGGCATTCGTGACCGCCGCTGCGTCCGAGGGACGGTGGTAAAGGACATTGAGACATCCCGCAGGAAGACCAGCTTCGCGATAGATGTCTCCGATTGCCCAAAAACACTTGGGGGACAGCTCTGATCCCTTCAGAATCGTTGTATTACCTGCGGCGAGGGGTAGAGCGACTGCACGGGTTCCAAGGATATAGGGAGCATTCCTACCGAGGTGATAATGTTAGCGACCATGAGACTGACGCGGAGCTAATGCCTTGTGGGAATGGGATAGGTAATATACCAAGGCGCGATTCCCAATACTACGCCATATGGCTGCTTGATAACCATTGCGCACTCTCCATCTTCCGAAACAGACGGCACTGTACCCTCGATAGACGGGATCCGCGCCGCGAAGTCCTTCAAGAACCCGACTCCCAGCATAAAGGTTTTCTCCACAAACATACGTCCCGCACCTGTCTCCTCCATCTGATACCGAATCAATTCTTCTTTCCGGGAGAGCATAATGTCCGCAGCCCTAATGAGGATATCCCTGCGATCGTACGGCTTGGTCTTGCTCCATCTAGGGAAGGCGGCCTTCGCGGCCGCGACAGCACGGTTGGCATCGTCGACTGTTGCTCCGGCGCAACGGTCAATCACCTCACCCGTCGCGGGGCTCGTAACGTCGAATATCGTCTCGGTCACAGAGGACTCGTTGTTAATCAGGAGCGGGATAACCGCGGTATTTCCGTTGGGGTTCTTGGCAATCATGGCTTCTTCGAAGGTTAATTGGATCTAGAAGGGGTTGGTCTATATGGCATTAGATTTAGAAAGGACAAGAGAGAGAGAGAGAGGGAGGGAGAGGGAGAAGAGGGTGAGATGAACAAATAGATAGAGAAGTGGAGAGACAGAAGATGAGCAAGAGGGTATGGGGTTAAGTTGAACCAACAAGCCAGGGCAAAAAAAGAATGAGGGGAAAGGGTCAAACAGACGGGGTCAAAGACTAACAAATGGCGCGATAATGGAACAGCGCGAGACCCCAATAATCTAGTTAGTCGCAGACACTGGTCTTGCTTGCATCTGCAGCCACAGAAGTGAGGGGGCAATTTTCGGGACTTTTCCCGACGTGATGGAGCCGAAAGATTGTCAAAGATTGTCAATGATATTGCCCTTCCGGCGCATGGTTTTGGAGGGCCCTCATCTGTGACTACGGAAGCTTCTGCATGTCTGCATACTAATTGGCAGGCAGATGTGCGCGTCTGTTGGAAAATGTCATCATGACTCGGTTGTTGAGTGGGGGAGACTTCCCGATGGCACACATTGAGTGGATAGTCCCCCTGGATCATTCTCCCACGGTTGAAGTCGCGACTCACAACTTCATGCGTTGCGGACCGCGGAATTCCTCCTTTTTCCTGCACTTTCCCCCCACCCGGAGATAAGGTTGACGGTTGTAACGCTCTAGCCCCCTGTCAGCGCCGCCTCGGCTGTCACCCTCACTAGTACTTGCAGCTGGACAACCCACAGAATTGGCAATACTACTTCAAACATCGTTGTTGTAACTGAGAGTATCAAAGCCCTCTTACCCACAGGAAGATTGCGTTAGGATCCTGCAGGTCCGTCCTCTTTTCCCTTGCTGCGAACGTTGGAGACACCAGATCGTTTGTCCCAAAGAAGTGTGTGGGCCTTACTTTCAACGAATCCAATGATCGTCAGTTTTTGGCCCCCTAGCGCAGCTGCCGCAACAGAAATTTGTCTGCTTATTGGTAGACACGGCTCGTGGCCTCCACTCCGGCAGATGCCTCAACTCGGGGTCGGTTGGGATTCAAACCAAAGTGACGCGATGGTCTACCTGGTAGCAAAGTTGCTGACAAAAAGCAGTCGGGGACCTCTGTGCGCAGTCTCAAAAGGGACTCCGATCATATTCTAGACTGCCGAGGTAGGAAGGGAGCGTCCATTACCTTCTGACTGATATACTTTGTTCTGTTCTGTTATTGACACCCTAAGAGAGGTAAGGAGAGGCATAGCCTCGACACCGAGTATGGACGTGCAGCGGATAGATCTGTCCGACAACTGCAGGAGAAGTGATGTCACAATATCTAAATCTGGATATCTTCAATTACTATATCGCCTGTGTGAACCCCAACACCATCCATGCATGCTCCAAGATACGAACGATTTCTTTGGAAACGACAAAACCAGGAAACAAACAAGATAACCGGAACACATATGCCTGACGCCCGCTATGCTCTTTAAACATGTATACCATCCGTGACGTTCTATTACCATCCAGACAACCGACTAGTTCAGTTCGACCCGGCCCAAATCTTGGTCTCCGATGCCGGCTTCGCCATATCTGCGAAGGGGCATGCCGGGGTTGAAGTAGGGACCGTGCCACTGTGAATGCTTGAGCGGTCATCCTCACTCGAGCTTGCGGAGGTGCTGCTGTTATCGCCCAGGATCTTCTTGTCACCCAGGTACCCTTCTTTGTCGTCAACCATAATCTCCGACATCTCGTCGGCATACTCCTCGCCATCTCTGATTCTCCACTTGGCGAAGAGGTCGTTCTGGATCCAGATGATCTTGCTGATGGCGCGAACCAGGGCGGTCTTGCGGGGGAGAGACAGGTGAGGATGTGACATGAGGGCTTCGGTGAAGATATCTTGAATAAATCCGAGGCAAGCGCCGATATGGATGTATTCGATGTTAAGCGAGTACAGACGTTCCTGGGCAGTGTGCATCATTCTATGACCGTTAGTGTCACATGATACTTTGTACACACTGACCGACTAAGAGATAGGAAGACATACCCAACTTTGTTCAAGTACCGCCAGAATTCCATCTGGGACGGGTCGGAACACAGCTTAATCAAGTACCAACGCAAAAACATCTTGCGACGTTGGATCTGGGGGCTTTCTTCGGTGAAGAACTCCTCAATGGGTGTATCGTCGGCGGTATCTCTCGTGTGGAAGGCACGAGCGGTGATGTCGGACTCGAGAAGTTTCTTATAGACGATGTTGACCACGGCAGGGATCAGGGCCTTGATATACTTGGAGCCTGCCACCAATGCCTCGACGTCACCTACATCCATGCGGTTAATTGATGATCGAAGGCAACGAGGATGGAAGTGGACGAACCTGAATTGAAGTCTAGAAAGTCTCGCAGGTAAGTGATGCGCGCCTCTAGGCGGGTGTACAGGGCTTTGCGGTCGACATGCTTCATTGGTCGATTGGGCTCGAGAGTGTATTCCATTTTGGGAACCTTGGCTTTGCAGGAGGGGTGTATGAGTGGATATTCGAGGAACAGGTAAGATAAAAGATGGCTCGGTTAGATCGAGAGGGGCGGTTGATTTCTTTTCACGAACCCCTGGGGTCAAAATGGAAGCTTGGAAGGTCGAAGATGGAAAAATGGGAGGACTGGGATTTTGTGGGAGGCATGGAGACATCATGCGATTATATAGGGTTGGCTAAGGATGCATGGCCACTGGACTGGATATCAAATGGGAGACCCAACGCATGGATGTTAGTCAAGCAAGTCCGACATCCGACCCTCCTCCACGCGGGAAGGGGGGAGGGAGAAGAGCGGACCCATCGTGATGGTGGGCACAAGGGAAAAAAGCAAGACAACGGGGTTTCAGGCTAGGAGAGGAAAGAGACCCAAGTTCCAACATCAGCCCAGACAGCGCGCAACGGCCACGGGGGATCCCGAACCTTGGCGATATTATTCCCTGCCGTCAGTATCTGGAGCCTTGAGGAGTCTTGGTGGTCTGATGCGGCCCTTTAAACCGACTTAGTGCAGCTGATGCTGATGGTTTTTTATTTTTATTCTTATTTTAATCTTTTTAGTTTGTTCGTCCTAACACGCTTACACAGTATCTATGAGATTATACCACCTTCTGCTTCAATTCTTTGATTACAGCCTGCTGTTCTGGCCGGGACAGAAACAAGAAAAGGCCACTCAACCGGCAGTGTCGGGCCAGACTCTTCATGACAGTCTGGAGCCGTGGGGCAATTCGACGCAGCTGATTGACAGCCTACAAATTTTCTCAGTAACCACGACACACCAAGGAGGAACAGAAAAAAGCAAAAATGAATCAAAAAAAAAAAATCATGATGAGCAAGAGGGTCGTCTAATTCAAGGCTCCAGAAAATTGACTTTGGAGAGAAGATGCTACTAGTGCAAACTGCAAAGGAAGCTGCCGAATGACACGCTCGCCCAAAGGTCGATGGCACAACCCAGGGAGGGTCCGCTAATTGATGGGCAGCTAATCGGAATGGCTGCAAATAATCTCGATGCTTCCCTGTAAGGGCGCCTAGGCGGGAAGAAGAGAGGAAGAAGGGGCAGCAACGCCTCAGAACATCGGGAATAACGCCTTCTCAGTCGTCATCTGGGCTCCAACCCTTTCTCCGCCGGGCTCAAAACGAGTCGGAGCCGATGCGCGACCGAGTCTAAACTTGGACCGCGGTGGTATTTCTCATCTTCACTACTAACTACGGAGTACCTACGGAGTACTACGACTTTCATCTTCGCTCGTGACCCCTGCCCCTGCTCCGTCTTCATGGAATGTCTAGATACATGAGCGAGTCTGTGGTCAACCGATGCATCAATTTGATTAACCAGAACTCTGTCTCTCCTTGCGACCAAAGTCAGATATATTGCCCCGTATATTAATGTGAGGTATCTCTCTCTTCTGTCCAGCCCAAAAAGTGTCGAGGATGTGATCTGTCGGGACGGGTGACTAAGCTCGTATCCGATTGGCTGTGCTGCAGGTGATCGCGTCGAACCGGGTTCTCCTTAAAACATCAGGCCATATAGACATATTCCATCCAAACTCAACCAACTGAGGCCTTCCGTGGATCACACGACTCTCGGATTGCCTTTCCGTTGTCCCTCCTCACTCTGACTGCAATGGCTGCTTCACTAGAATGCTATCGTCATCGTCATCGTTAGATGAAGTCTGACCCCTCACATCATCGCTGGGCACTTTCGCTTAGCCGGCAGTTGAGAAGATCGTACGGAGTAGTAGTCAATCTTACAACCTCCTCCTATCTTAGTCTACTTACCTTGCCATCATCTGGCCTGAGACGCTCCACTACAAGCTATGATGTCAACCTGACCAATCACTACTTCAGCGTGCGTATGGCTCTATTTCTGCTCCAACGCCATAATAGTGTCTGCCAGTGCAGGCAATATTTTCTTCCTCCCTTCCTGTGGAGTCGTAATGCTAATGGAATTGGTGCCCCATAGTAGCCGTCCGCGTGGGCAAACCATCCTGGGCAACCAAATCATTCCCAGCTCCACAGATTACAAGCTTTCCGGATGGTCTTTTCCTTGCAGACCGTGGGTAGTCATATTACTCACATCCATTCGCTCGAATACAACTTCTTTGAATGGCTACAGGGCCGTGGGCAACATACGAAGGAGGAGGTTCCCGTGTGTTCGAGGCCAGCCTCACAGACTTCCGGTCCGCTGCGGTCCAGTGCCGTTGAAACGAATGGGTCGGTCCACCCGTCAAATGGATACCTGCTACACAATTCGATACGCTGGTTATACCCGGCAAATGGATTCCACTGACGGGTATTGTTTCCCCTTGGGAGTGGAATGGCTAATTTGGAGTAAAATCCCATCACATCTGCGCCGACTCGGCCGGGCAAATATGCCTGATGTCCGAATATGGTTATCTGACCCCTAGCCCACTAGCCGCTACGCATCAGCACATTGAATGTTGATTGCTTCCGAGATGCAGGCGGCCGCCAAGAGCAGTGTGGCAGTCCCTACCGTTAACTGCCCATCTTAAGTAAAGATCCATGGTCTTCATTCGCTGATCAGCAACAGTTCCGTTCGCTAGATCTAAATCAGAGACCTCAACAAAGAACGTCGGACTCTTTTCCATTTGCCTTCCATTAGGGGTCCGCCTCCAATCACTTCTTGCTCTGTTATCCCAGTCCACCTACCGGAGAAAAGAGTCGCTACTCGCGTGCGCACTGACAGGTATGGTCACCGCTCTTTCTTTTGTTGATAGCACTCGTGACTAGTGACTACAGATGAAGGCGCCGCTGTCGCCACGATCGGCATTTCTGAAACCACCGTTAGGCATGTTTTGCTATTTTCTTGATGGTCCGACTGATAGCAGAAGCGGAGTAGCAGTCGTACGTAGGGGTTATGTTACTATGGGTCTCCAATGCGTGGTTCCGAGTTCCGAGAGACTTGGATCTGAGCTTTTAGTAATGGCATCTACGGTATTCGAGGTTTAAGGAGAGCAACAGCAAACAGTCACATAATCTATCTAAATCGAGAGCGGAAGGGTGGGTAAAACGAGACATGAAGCTTCTACCCGAAAGTTCGTGAGGTCCTACCACAGCCTCCTCAACCACATGGTCCATGTGCTCAACCTTGACCTGCGTAGGCAGAAGTCTCATCCGCCGCCCTGTTTGGGGAGCCGGTAAGTAATGTCCATCTGGATATGGCAAAGGAGTATTCGCCAACCAAGTTGGCACAAACAAGGCCACACTAGACGGGATGGCGGCGAGGCGGTCCGGATCTCTGAGCCGACTTAGCGTCGGCAGTTGGGTTGTTCATCGTCACCATGCTCAGGGGCAGGGCACTTTTTCAAATGTGGTGGCTCTTTAGTCCTCCGTTCTCTTCCGTATAACTAGCAGCATTCTTTTCTCCATAAGTGGCTCGGCCTGGTCCCCAGCCGCATACGTCAACCGGGCAATTGTCCGCATTAGTATCCGCCCCCTAGCCTCGAAGGAAAAAAAGCCGCTTCGAGTTCTTTATCCGAGTCCAATGAAGTTGACTCGAGCTCATGATTCGTCCAGGAGGCCTGTTAAACAGGCTTCTAGATGAATTAGGACTGGATTCCACCATTTAGTATAGAAGTGGGCATCGGGTCTTGGGGGGCCATAGTTCCCCTGAAATATAATCACAGTCCCCAGACTGATTCGATTGGTGGTAGAGTATGAGAGGACGGAGGATTCACCCCTAATCATTCAGGTGTTCGTCCACTTCAAGACACTATCGACCGTTGGAATCCACTGCGGCTGAGGTATGGAGTCCGGAGGAATAGTTAACTAAGGGAAAGCTGCTAGTCATTTAATTGCTGTTGCCTGACGCGAACTCCTGGGGCGTGCCTGGGAAGGAGGTTGAAGTAAGTTCCTTGGCAGGGTGGTAAGCCGGTCACTCGTTGGAACTCCTGATCTCGTACCATGGTCCAATTGGGGAGATCTATGCGTCGTAATAATGAAAACGCAACTTGTTTCGGATTTTAGACTCAACTTGGATGCGCGGGGAGCAAAGTTCCAGCTTGGAAGGGGGCCACGTGATGGGGTGTCACCGGATCCGTCCCCGCCATGTTCTAGTTCTTCTACTTGCTCTTGGGCTTTTAACCTTTCCCTCTTCATTCCTGTCCTTCGATACTTACTTTCCCTGTCTTGGCTCGGCGCTATCCTCTGGTTATTGCCTTCCGGATCTGTATCCTCTTCCTCTGGATGCTCGCCGGATCGAGCATCACACAATGACTTGCCACGTTGCTCGCGCGGAGATGTTTCCCACCCCCAGAATAGTACGCAACAATAGGCATCGAACAGCTCCATGCGGATGAAGACGACGATGGTTGCTCATGACGATGATACCGCAGGTCATGCGCACTGCATAGCAGTTGCATTGACCCCTGGCTATATGTAAGGCTACTGCAGCTATTAGCTGGGTTATTGGTGAAGATGTTACACCGCGGCAGAGTCTCTCTACCTTGCCTCACCTGGCCGACAGTGGCTGTAAATGCCCAAAACGATGCAAATGCCGCATCTGTGCCTTGAGAACGAGTCTTGGCTGGGCCGTTCCTTCCTCGACAACGCGAAATGAGTGGTAGGGCCCTCCCATCCAAACCATAGATGGGCAAGGACCTAGCAAATCTTGACTGCGAGTGTCCGGCTCACTCTTATATCACAAGTGCTCAGTTTCTCTCCTCCTTTCCACTGTTTATATTCTTCAAATCTATTGCCCTGTCAGAGTGACTTCACTGCGCCTAAGTCCACGTATCCTGTATTTCCATGCAGCCGGCCTGAATCGATATCCAGCACTTCAATAAGTCTTACTTCAGGGCTAGGTCTAGACGGCTTTCTGTTGTCATTGCGGTGCTGTAACGTTGTCGACGACACGGGAAAGTAGAGACAAACTGTTCTCCACATTTTCTATTGTGGATCATTCTCCTTCAACCTTATCTACTATCCTTACGAGCACCGCTTTGTCGTGCGTCTGCTTTCGGTGGGTCTCATCTCACGATCAAGTGCGGAGGTCATGGTTGACTTGGAGATCGATATCTGCAAACAGACCAGTTGATATTAAGATTTCTGCAGATCATTTGGCGATCCAGATCTAGGAGACGGCTTGTTGGTTGCTTGCGGTCGATTGACAGCCAGCGTGTTCAGCCTCCTCTACTTAAAGCAGGCGAAGTCCATCCTATCCGGTGCTGGCTTCCCATAGACGGCAATATTCCATTCCAGCCTTCTGATATTCTTCGCTGATTTTTCTACGGAACCGTATCTTCATTATGTTTGTGGAAGGTGTAAAGAAGGCGCTTTTGGCGTTGTCTCTTTTGGCTGCTAGTGCACAAGCTGTGCCACGAGTGTCAGTTGTGCCGGATACATCAAATTTATCCCTTCAGTTTGTGGTCGCTGACTTACTGTTGAGTATAGGCGCCGGCAAAGCAACGCAAGCTCTTTCGATTACAAGAGTCAGATAGTCCGCGGTGTCAATCTAGGTGGCTGGCTGGTGACCGAGCCATGGATTACACCTTCACTTTATGACAGTACGGGGGGTGGTGCGGTAGATGAATGGACGCTGTGTCAGACGCTGGGCCAGGACGAAGCTAAGGCCAAGTTGTCGTCTCACTGGAGCTCGTTCGTCACGCAAAGTGATTTTGACCGTATGGCTCAGGCAGGACTGAATCATGTCCGCATTCCTATTGGATACTGGGCCGTTGCTCCCATTGATGGTGAGCCGTATGTCAGCGGTCAGATCGACTATCTTGACCAGGCGGTCACCTGGGCTAGAGCTGCTGGTCTCAAGGTTCTCGTTGATCTGCATGGTGGTAAGTTGTGAGATTTCATGCGCAATTCATTTTTGGGTTTCTGACAGAAACATAGCGCCGGGCTCTCAGAATGGTTTTGACAATAGTGGACATCGAGGCCCCATCCAATGGCAGCAAGGGAACACGGTTAACCAGACTATGACTGCATTTGACGCCCTTGCAAGGCGTTACGCTCAGTCCGATACCGTCACAGCGATCGAGGCCATCAATGAACCCAACATTCCTGGTGGCGTAAACGAGGGTGGCCTCAAGAACTACTATTACGGTGCTTTGGCCGATATCCAGCGTCTCAACCCTTCTACTACTTTGTTCATGTCGGACGGCTTTCAGCCTGTAGAGTCCTGGAACGGCTTTATGCAAGGTAGCAACGTTGTCATGGATACGCATCACTATCAGGTTTTTGACACTGGCTTGCTTTCTATGAGCATCGATGATCATGTCAAAACGGCCTGTTCTCTCGCCACCCAGCATACGATGCAATCAGATAAGCCCGTCGTCGTGGGTGAATGGACCGGTGCTCTGACTGACTGTGCCAAATATCTCAACGGCGTTGGTAATGCCGCTCGCTACGATGGCACATACATGTCCACCACCAAGTACGGTGACTGCACGGGCAAGAGCACGGGTTCTGTAGCTGATTTCTCAGCTGAAGAGAAAGCGAACACCCGTCGTTACATTGAGGCCCAGCTGGAGGCTTACGAGATGAAGAGTGGATGGCTCTTCTGGACCTGGAAGACAGAGGGTGCCCCAGGATGGGACCTGCAAGACCTTCTGGCTAACCAACTCTTTCCTACCTCGCCTACTGATAGACAATACCCCCACCAGTGTTCTTGAACGGTCAGCCTGGTGATTTAACGTTTGGTTATCACCTCTCGAGATATCCATGGTCATTCTTTCATATTCGTTGTGATTCATTATTGGGGCTTAACCCGTCTGGTACTGATGTTTATTGAGTCTTGCATGCCTTACTATTATTATTACCTTTTCCTTTACACTACTTAGCAAAGTCAGTCTCGCATGGTAATTTCATTGCTCAGCTCTAAAGTCAGAGCTACTATCTATGTAAGGGGTATTCAACTATGTAGAGTATGCTATCCCATAAGATGCAAGTTACTGTCCAGTAGACGATATGACACACGGGCGAACACAAATGTCAAGTCACCAATCCCTCCCTTCCATCCCTTCCTACCATCCACAAGCCTCAACGTAAATCCAGATCTACAACAACCCCAAAGCCCCAAACGACGCAACCACCTCCCGATCAACATTAAGCAACCACTCCTCCTGGAACCTCTGCTCACCACCACACCCGACAATCAACGAATGCAATCTCTCCCGAATAAAGTCCCTAATATTGACCTTATGCAGCACATCCTCGTTATCCCATTCCCTACGCCGCACATTCTCCGGCGGCTCATGCTCATCAACAGCCCCCGTCTGGGCATTATTCCAGTAGATCAAGTAATCACTACCACCGCGGGGGTCGTCAGTATTAGCTCCGCTGCCATCGTCTGCGCCTTCGGCGAGTTCAGTGACGATGTCGGTCCACAT